TATTTAGAAGGCACTGTGTGATGATTGCTTGCACGGAAGGGCTTTGCAGATGAAAATTCCTGCAGAAAGGTAAATTGTTACTGGTGTGGTTAAAATCGGTTCACTAGTCTTGCGCGCGAAGCGTAAAAATTCAAAATCATTCGGATTCATTAATGACTTTCAAACGTCAAAAAAGAATAAAAAGAGAATTGCCATAAGACAAAGAGCTCGGGATTTTGAGTAACACTACGTTTGGATTTAAATTCCACGAATGACTTGTTTGTTATTGAATTTTTTGAAATTGATGGCGGATTATAAAACACATATAAATCTGTCTCAGTTGGAGGGCTCCTATTCTGACTTAGGCTTTTTGTCAACTCTTTGATGGGTGGACATTTTCTCTCACAAGACTTGAACGCCAAAAGGTAATAGAAAAGCACCTTGTTACAAGTTAGTCTAAAAACAAATTAAAACTAGTAATTGTTCTGCTGCTACGGTGCATTTTTTTTAAGTTGAATGCATTTAAAATACCCTTACATTTTTGACGCTCATTATTGTGCCAGTATGAACTTGAGAGCGAACTGCGTAAGGAGGATAAAGCAAGTGAAGTTAGACATCTGCTCTCAAATAAGCTTAAGTATATCCAAAAATGATTTTGAAAAATAAGCGAGTGGGAATTATGACAATGAAAAAAAAGGAATTTTGTTCCCTATTATTCAAATGGTGATTTCATTTCTCCTCCCCTCCGCTGCACTTGTGAGCTGAAAAAACAATTCGGTTAGTCGGAAGCGTGAGTATGCATGCTATGCTTCACTTGGCCGCCAAATGGTTAAATTCTTCGAAAAATTTGGTCATTGAAAATCAAAATTTGATTTGCATTTCCTTAAACTGTTAGGAAAAGGAATGAAAAAAGCCCTTGGTGCTAGTTAAAACGGACTTTAAAATAAGTTAAGAACTTGTTGCTTTTGATTTAGAAATGCTCAACTTCTTCAAATACCCCACTAAGGACATCTCACACAATAATTATGAATACAAAACCGATCACAAGTAAATAAAATATCAAAGAAAACATTTAAACCGTAAGTGTAATTGTGGTTTTATTGAGCTTTTTTTTTAATATTACCCCTCTTTTTGCAGCAGTCTTTCCATGAAGGTAAAAGTGCCCCACAAAATGGGAGCTTAGGGGGACAGTAGAGGTGAAGCGTGCACAAATTCGTTTGGCTATGATGTAGCTCCATAGATTTAGAATATGTTTGGAAGATTGCAATCAATCAATCACTGGCCAATGTTACCTTAAGATGAATGAATTGGTGGCATAGCTGGCACCCTTAGATGATGCTCAAAAACCTAAGTCTTTATTAGAGATGTGTAATGACTCAAAAGGCAAGTCCTCTAGTGCTTTTTAAGCATTTTACCTTCAAGTTAGTGACATTTTGACAAATAGATTTTACAACTTCGCAAGTTGTAGCACGACTGGCCAATGAGGAAAGTTCGAAAGATTCTGCATTATTCCATTGCAGATAAAATAGCAATTTTTAATAAATTTTTAGGATACTTGCTTTTACTGGTGAGTTTGACTCCTAACAAAGCGTGGAGTACATGTGGAGGTTGAGTTTATCCATTCATTGCCAAATCAGTGTTGGCTCCTCCTCAGACCAGTCGAGGTATTCTTCATAAGCGTCTGAATCAAATCGCCCGTCTGGGGTCAACTGCACTCTCAAAGGTGCGTTTGGGTGATGGGTTGCATGAATTAAGGAATGGAGTCAGCTGCAAAGGTCTTTAGTCGCTCGACTGGGTAAATTGCTAATTAGCAGTAATATGCAAGCAATTTTCTGGTAAAATGACCCTCACTACCTAGAATATGCACTTGCTTTCTCCGTTACTGCGAGTCTATGTAGTTGAGGCCACTAGCTTTTCTGCATTGGCTTGGATTTTTTCGTCTTCCAGGAGTTTCGTATCTATAAATGACTTTAAAAGCGTCTTCAATTTATATGAATTAGTATTATTTCAAATTCATGGGATTCAGTAAAAAGTGAGACAAGTATTAATAGCTTACATTTACATTTTTTTCTTTCCCAGAAGTTTTTGATTTAGAGACCCACCCAATTGCGGGAACGTTAGCGGAAGCAAGAATCTATGTGGCATATTAATTTCTTTTACTTCTTGCTTTATTTTACCAGTGGTAGCTATGGTAACGTTTGTGTAACCATCCTGCCTTACGTTTGCGTCCCTTGTTTTAGTGCGAAAAGATACGCTTCAAAATACAAATTCTTAAAAAATTCAACCACCTTTTCAAAATCCTTTTATACAATTTTATAGCAAATAAACGACTTGAACGACAAAAGTAACTTGTGCGCTTGTTGCGTCTACGAATTCTAACTTTTCAAAATTGTAAGTGCATCCAGCCATACTTCAGAGATAAACGCGTGAGCCTCTGCGAGTTTCATGACTTTTGTGACGCAGTCGCCCCACACTCAAGATTAGAGTCGTAGGAATGCGAACCTTTCCCACTAAGTGTTAGAAGATACGAATTTAGTATTTAAGTTACTTGTTTAAGACAATAACTTCACCAACGTTTAGACCATGAAACGACGTTTAGCTAAAAGTGTCAAAAGGGATGCTTTTTGTTTGATTAATCGAAGCGTTGATTTTTAGGTGACCTTTTGTCACAAGCATCCCACTTGACTTAGGTGTGGTTATGGCCAGATTTGTTATTGTTGCAAAATGGGTTTCTACACTACATCAGCTTATGGAATGAGAGACATTTATTACAATCAATAGTACATACCGAAACACTCAAATATTTTATACTAAACTGCGTTCGACTGCATTTTTACAAAATTAATCCCGATATTGGCCTCAAAATATTTTTCTTTTTCCTCATTACCTGCCCAAGGTGCATTGGTGTTGGATTCTCCATTATTGCATTTTCACGGAAAAAGACTGCATAAAATGTTTGAAGCTTGCAGTCAAATATCTCCGTTTCGATAAGCATACATCTTGCATGACTCCTTCAGTACGCTCACAAACTTTGAGATTTGAAGACAGTCTTAAATAACCCGTCCACGTAGAACGTAGCCCTTTAATTTGGAAAAATGTCTCTTTGAATGGCATGAATTCTTAGAACTAGCAACTAGCAAAAAGGAAACGCACGACATAGTTTTCTTTTAAGTTAGAATGAAGTACAAATTTGTATTTAAATCGGCGACTTAACCTCTTTCACCACTTTTGAAAAGAAATATCTGCTCCTTTTGCCGTCTGTTTGGGAATCACAAGACCGTTAAAATTTAGCGTTATTTTACCTTGATAATCAATTTTGATAATTTTTTTCCATAATTTACGATAATAAGAATGCGTTCAGCAGCAGCCTTTTAAGCAGTCCACTTATTCAGGGTTGCATAACCGCCAACTACTGGTTGAAGTCTTAAAGATTGCAACCCCTTTTGGGCTTCAGTAGTGGTAATAATTTTACCTACTCCAGTACGATTTATGCTACTGTAGTCTAAGCGCAAGTCTTGATTGAAACCGCGGTTATCCCATAGTGGCCAATTCTGAACGTGCATCATTCTAATTGGTCAGCTGAGCTAAATGTTGTTCGGCGTGGTTACCATCCCGCACAGCAATTCCTTGTTGGAATACTGCCCTTGCTACGGGATATTCACAACTTCTTTTGCTTAAATATGCCGAATTGTTCAAATCAATGTATATAATAGCGTTTTACCTCAGTCTTCTCTGTAAAGTGGCTGGTGGGTTAGAATACAGTGGACCTGCAATTACTTTGAAGGATGCTTTATCATCTGTGGAATACGCTGGCATTCCGCTCATCTCCGAAACTTCTGTCTTTATCGAATTTTATGGAAATTCCCTGCAGGGTCGACTGTTTTACGCAGAGAACGCTACAATGGGGACTTTTATCTCACTTAAAATAAACCGCCCTGGCACACTAAGATTTGAGATGAAATTGACTGCCACCAACAGAAGTCATCAATTCATCATCCTTAGTGCTCCTTTAGACCGCACCACTAATCGATGGCATAGCGCCGACCTGCGCATTTCCTTAAAGAAGAAAGTGGTCATACTGTTCGTCGATGGCAAGAATGCCTATCCAATTCATATTGATGATGTTGTGGCCAACGCTGCAAGGTACTCCTTTGGTCCTTACCTGCACGTGGGCCGTTTGCCACCGAATCTTCAGGCAGATGCAAGCAAAGTAGTTCACTTTACAGCTGCTATGGAGTCCGCATTTGTGGGGAACCTTAGGAATATCTTCGCTAACGGCAAAGCACTTTTACCTCTAAAGGTTCTTAATGGGGCTGAAATTGCCCCTGGACTATCATATTGCTATCGGTTGAGACGGGAGGCCGGTAAAATTGGCGGCAGCCACTGGTTTTGTCCACGAAACTCAAACTGCATAGACGGACTCGACGGTTCTAAATGTGGATGTTATAATGACAAGCAGAAACTAGACACTTGTCAATTTCGTAAGGCACCTACCTTTTATAACTTTCCAAGTGATTTTTAGCATTTCTGATGCTGATTGATGCAAAATATTTATGCGTTTGCCAAATGATGGAAAAGTGTGAATATGATATCAGACCAAATCTAGGCAGGCAATTTTGACACAATAAAGTCTTTCAATGTGTAGTGCTGAATTTTTATAGCCTACTAGTTTATAAAATGCTCTGACATTTATTCTGGTTGACACGTTGATAACTTGAGCTCCATTCTCGATTCACAAATATCTTTTGGAAATGATTTTCCTACCAATTTTTTTGTAAGGGAATTTTGAATAGTTGCGCTTTAGTTAAGCCTTTAACAGCGCCAATAATTTAATGGAATTTAATTAAATTTAAGGGGAATGGTTGGTGGAGGGTTGGTTGCCACAGTAGTTCTCTAAATAAACTTGCTAAAGCCTAAATGAAGTTATCACTGCTCAAAAGTTTATACAGTGATCCAAATTCAGTCCAAAACTTTATTCGGTTCCATTTGCGATTAGAAAAGTCCAAGGTCGAAAACGCAGAATATGCTTGCGTACTGATTTAATTTAAAGGCAGTTTGAGGAGGGATGAAGATTGTGTTGGAACCTTAGCTACTAGCATCGAATCAACGGCATTTTTAAATTCAGCATGCAATGCGGAGAAACTGCAGTTTCAAACACTAACTTAGGGGACGACCCAACAGGCTTGGCTAATGCCTTCAGCGGCTCCATTACCAACTTGATTGAGTGCTCACTATTCACACAAAATGACCGCGGAAAGTGTAACGCATCGTGATTGTTTAAGCAAGCAGCTAATCGGCAGACTTTTGGCCTATAAGCCGCCAAAATTAGGCCAAAATTCTGAATTTTACCCAAATGCTGCAGCGTACATCCTTTCAGTGGGGAAAATTAGTGATGTGCTGTGCAATATCAATGTTTGCGTGCAACTCGAAGGAGGAAACAAGTAAATATATCTTAATAAAAACGGAACACCAAAATGCAAATGGGAGTGGTATTTTGCACCAGCACCGTAATAACTCTGAATTTTAGCAAACTCTTGAGCACCCATTTGTTTACGGTGTCAAGACAATGAGAACTAAGAAAAGTGTCTGTTGAAACTCAAGTTGCTTCGAAACTACTGAGTTTAACATTGGAATGGCATGCCCTCACATAGGTATTCTCATATGAATGTAAAAATCGTGTTAAGTTTTACAAATTTTCATGCTGCAAATGGATATTCATCATGAAAGCAAAATCAAGGTTTGGCGCTTCCAAGAGAAAAGAATGTTACACATTTTGGTAGTTAAATGTTAAACTTTCATTAATGACACCGCAATATGCTAGGTGCTTCAAATTACTAAGGCAAAAATGTTTAAAATAGATATATCTATCAGACTTCCACTTTGTGGGGTTTGTAGCAACAAAATAAAGCTTCATTCACTACGAGCTGATCAATTACACTTCGTTTTTCAAGCCACACCTGCCTTAAGTTCTTGCAGCCATCTTCACTTGGCACCATAAAACGTTGTACATTTTGAATGACCCACCTTGGATATGGCTGCTTTGGTGTAATAAAAGCTGAATTTTTTAGCCTGCTAGCAGAGAATTCAAAAAATGGCACTTTTACAGCAAAATTTGCTCCATTTTTCTTACAAAAGCATAGTGTTATTCATCCATGGGATAACTAAGTTCCTGCTTTAATGTTAGTCCTGTGCTTCATAGAATGGGCATCTGAGGCTTAGAGTGTTGTGATACTTAACGTTTCCTAACAAGTCTTACTCTTCTGTTTCCACTGATGCGATGACTATGAAACTTTTGTAACCCTTGTGTTATGACGATTTTTAATCAGACTCATCATAGCCGTAGGAGCGAGCATCTTAATGATTTTGTCATTTTGTTTTACACGATGTGAGTCCACAAGGCTCTTCTCATACTCATCCATCACTTTGGCTGCTTCCATTTCCAACTTTCATTTAATGGTGTTTACCTTAGGTTTGCATGAATAATTAAAATTCCAAGATTATCAGTGGGTTAAAATACCAAATGGGCATTTCACAAATTAATTTGTTTACATTTAGATTCAGACCTTCTAATGCGGTATATACTTTCGCATTGCCTGTACGCATAAATGGGATAAAAGAAACGAATGCTCGTTTGATTGCTGTGCATTGCCTTTGGTACACGTAGCAATTCATTTCTAACATCGCCTCTAAAAAGTACGAGCTGCCCTTCGATTGCTGTAGCAGAGTTTGATTGATTTCCCAGCTTGGATCTTCCTGTTTGAAGTATGTCACAGAAATTCCAATTCTTCATTGATGATTGATTGATTGCAATGAACAAATTTTTTTTAAATTTGGTTCCCTGACATTCGCCTTAAAGTAGTTAAACTCGAGAGTGTTAGAGGATGACAGTTTTAACGAGAGCAATGATAAGATGGGTGCGCTCATATAAAGAGTGGAGTGTCTGAAGCTGAAAAAAAGTGTTTTACTGCGAACAAAATCTGCATTGATAAAAACTTGGTGAACTATCTGCCTATCCAAGTGGAAAGGTCGGGAGCGCTAAGCAAACGAAGAATCTTAAGGGTATACGGACTAGCTGGCTCTTAAGAAAGAAAACACTGAGGGTTTTTTGACTGCGAAAAACTGCAGTCAAATTGAGTTTGAGGAATAATCCGGTTAGATAGGCTTCGTCTACATATGAGCGAAATTAATCACGCCTAATAATTTAAATCTGCGTTTCAAAATGCCTTCTTTTTGTCTACTTTAAGCACTTGATGCAACAAAAGTATTTTCTACTAGCATTATCTTTCAAATACATTGACCATCAATGAGACAGCATTCTAAGTGAGGCCTTTTTTATTCGACCACATTACCAGATTTGGCTTTATCCGTCAAACTGCAGAAACTTTCGCAATAGTTTGTGCCGGCGGCTATTGGAGAACTTGACTGAAATTTTTGTCTCGAGCAAAGGGGCTTTATTCTACGCAGCATCGGTAGGAAAATTTGTATGAAGAAAAGGATGCAATGGAGGTTGTACTTATTTGTATGGTTAAAGAGAGCATCAAAATGGGTTTAATTTTATAGTTTCCCGGGTTGCTGTTCCCTTAATTAACCCCTTTGCGCTGGGTTTGTTAGAACTTATGTCCAGTCGCTGTTGTTGACCTTTACCGACTGTGTGGCGTACGCCGAAAGGGATATTTCATCACCTTTCATAGTAGTTCACAAAAGACCCACTGCAGTGCTGTCAGTAAAAATGCCCACTTCGAACTCGTCCCCTTAGCCCAAGAAAGTCTTGCAAGCTTTCCATTTGTTATCCAAGAAGCATTTCAATTATGAATTTCCACGCCGTCTTTTTGATGACAATAGCCAGGCAGATGTGTAAAAACTTTGTTCTTTTTTTCGTTAATTAATTTTATCATATCCGGGATTAAGGCTAGAACAATAAAATGAAAAGATAAATTTTAAGACAAAGTGTTTGGCAGATAACCACTTAAAAGCGCTCGTGAAAACATTTCAATTACGTCTCAAAAGAGTTCACTATTATCATTGACTTCGACCCTCGCATACAAAACAAATAACTAAAGTAGCAATTAAAGCTCCTCTGGGGACATTAGTAATGCACCACTTTAATAAAAAGTTAGAGGCTTTTATAGATCGAAACAGGCTTGGTCCTTTCGATGGGAACTCCGAGAGCACGATATAAGCGTAACGGCGAATAAAATGAGCCAAAAATATGGTAGAGAAATGATTTACATCCGATGTAGATAAGTAATGTCAGGTAGCATAACTACAAACAAAAGAAAAGTACTCAACGGTTGTCCTTTAATTTTGGGCTTTAACTGAGGCAACACAATAGGCATAATGTCTATTAACTTCTCATAATTCCCGTCCTATATAGCCACAAATGGACAGATTTATGCCCACAGAGCCAGTGATTAGGCAATGGGAAATTTAATTGGACTTCAGATAAAAAGACAAGTACACATGCTTTGGCGCTCCGGGTTCCCGCAGTTGCATACATAAGCAAGAGGAGTTAATTGGGATTCTTGAAATGCTTTCCACACTTCCTTGTCGATTTAAGCAGGCGATTGCCTACGTTCAAAGAAGAGATTGATTTTTAAGATCAGCTAAATGTCAGGCATCGGTTTGACCTTATAAGACTGCAACCTTCATTTGCTTTGAAATATAAGAGAGACTCTTTTGTCCTTCACATTAATTTGCCTTTTTAAAACCACGGATGAATTATAAAAGAGCATCTCGCCTTTACCCTTTAGTTTAACATTAAGTGTGTTTGTTTCAGAACATTTACAGATCGAATTGACTGCATTCAAAGGAATGCGTTAAAACTTTTAGGAACTACAAATCAAGTTAGCGTTTTTGGCTGCGATTCGTTACTTGTAGTTTTCAAGTGTTTTCTAAACTCATCAGATCGCCTACTATGTGAACCAAATCAAACATCCTTTGATAGTGCAACTTACTTAAGCCGATAGTTTAAAAAGTTCAAAAATAATCTCACGCACAATAATTTACGTAGATTGCAAGTTTAAGTGTTAACAGCAAGTTAATCAGTCCTGTCGCTTTTTACGTGTCCATTTATTTAAAGGCTGTTAATAGAAGAAATCTAAGCTCTAAATAATTTTTTGTTAGGAAGCCAACCCACCCAACTTTAAAAGATTCCATCCAAATTCCAAATGAAAACCAAAATAGTGTTGCGTTCATCGTCTTCTTATGACCAATAAGCAGGATTGAGCGCATTTAGAGGCGACGAAGAGCCTTGGATGGGACAGTCAGCAACAGAGTGATGTTGCGTTTAAATATGGTATGGTTGAAAGTTGATGGGTGCGGAAAGCACGAATTAAAATACGTCTCAATCTTCGAATTGCAGCATTGCTAATTGATACTGAAAACAGAGGGATGTTGATTACACGATTTGATAGTCGTTTTAGTCAAAAGAGTGTGCGAAGCATCTTGTTTCTGCCGCTTGTTAAACTCAGATTTTACCGAAAGATGCGTCTATACGATATGGAAAGCCCTTCTCGGGGGTAT